CTGGCGGCGGGAATTTCCAGGCTCCGAGTGCTGCGTCCTTGCGGTTTTCATTTTTGGCGAGTTACTTAGGTAAAGAGGACAAAATAGAACGAAATGATTGCATTTTGACCCCAGAAACTCAACAGGAAAAGAGGAGTAGGAACTTAGAGAGCTGTGCGATGCCCTTCTCAAAGGGTAAGTGCCTGTGCGTGCGTGGCGTGTTCGTAGGGTCAGAAGCTGCATGGGAAAGTGTCCGCGGTGTTCACGCGGAGCTCCAAGGGAGCGCTGTTTGCAAACGCGGGGGCACACGTGACCATAAATGTTGGTCGAACTGGGCACAACTCGTCTGACTTTCATTTGAACTTTAAATCTGCGGCTGTTCTCTTCCTGCCTTGTGTGACGTTGTTTTTCTAATTGCTAATTTGTGGCACTGAATTCAGTGTGCGTTAATAGAATCTTAGAGATTCCTTTGTGAGGGTCCAGTGTGGCTTTGTTGTTGTTTTGATTTGTTTTATTTTTCGAGCAAAGACTACATCCTACGGTGATGCTTGTTCCTTCCCAAGTGCTGTTTCTGCTTTCCACTGGGCTGAATTTCTATGTTCAAAAACCACATTACTTAGTGTGTTGGCCATGACTCACTTCCACGCATGCTCCTGGGTGAACATTTACTCATTTCGTAGTCTCACGCTGGCCTCCTGCAGTTTGCAAGCATTCTTAGCCTGTGGTGTCTATCTGCGTTGAGCCTAGTAAAGTAAAGTTGGATAAAAGAAATACCTGGCGTTGAAGTATGCCTCTCCTGCTGTGCTGCTTGTTTCCAGTCCATTAGGAGTTTCTTACTTGGACAACTCATTTGTGACCGCCCCATCCAGCCGCGATCCTGCCTCGATCCTGCCTCGTGTGTAAAGCTACCCCTTCTCTGCTTTGGGCCCTGTTCCCATTGCTCCCTCTGGGAGAGCAGGTTCACTGATGGACCTTGGTTCTCTGAGGACAGAGAGCATTGTTCGTTGTGCTTTTCAGTCTCCAGCGTAGTGTTTTGTGCATGGTAGATACTAGGAAAGGGACGCTGAATTGGGCTTATGCTTGTGTGCTTTATGATCTGATAACAAATGGCAGCAGAAGGGGGTAGGCCCTTTTTATCTACAGATAAAACTTTTACAAAGAGGGTTGCCAGAGGAATGAAATAGGTGAAATATGGTATATATTGTGTTTGTTGTCAGGCATTTTTATTGAAAGATTTGATATTCCTTTCCTTTCCACAGTTTGTCTAGTTTTTTTATACCTTTGACAGCTATTTTTGCTGAAGCTTGTTAATTTTCCTAGATCAGGAAGAGAAAGTAGAAAATAAAGTCACCTCCAAATATACATTTCTAAAGCTAATGGATTGTTAGAACCATCAGTGTGGTTAATAGTATTTGTTCTGTTTATGTAGCAGAATACACATGCATGTGTGTGTGTGATTAGAGAGCCAGAGAGGAGAGTGGTGTGCTCTTGGATGAGCAAAAGCCAGAACCAGGGCCCTTGCAGAGAACGCCATTGGGAGTGACTTCAGCCAACAAACACATCTGAGAGCAAATGTGTGTCTGTGGAATGTGGTCAAAGAAAAACTTGGGACCTTTTACATGTACTGCATGAATTGTATCAATAGAAGGTTAATGAGGAGAAAGATTTGGGAAAAATATGAGAAATATGTTTTGGATTTTGATAATCAGTACCATCTAATTCTTTGAATTGAATTTAACTTCACTCATTTTAAAAGTGTATGTATTATGTTAGTATACCAGATAATTCAGATCTAATTTTAAGGTATGAATTCAGAATATAATGTGATGATAGTGTGACCCAAAGGCAGTGTGAGTTATAACCAAAAAGTCATGTGCAGTCTTGATATCAGAAGTGTAATGCTATCCTTTCTTGTTCGCAGTAACCTAGATTCAAAATGAATAGCGATCAGGTGGCACTGGTGGGCCAAGTGTTTGAGTCCTACGTTTCGGAGTACCATAGGAGCGACATCGTTCTAATCTTGAAGGCAGACGATGAGGACGTCCACTACCCAGTGGTGGTCAACGCCATGACCCTGTTTGAGACCAACATGGAAGTGGGGGAGTATTTCACCACGTTCCCCAACGAGGTGCTGACTGTGTTTGATAGCGCCCTGCGAAGGGCAGCCCTGACAGTTTTCCAGTCCCTTGCTCAGCATGAGGCTGTTTCCATGAAGCACAATCTTCATGCTAGGATATCAGGTAAGTCACGTGAGGATGGCTGTGGAATTACTGCCGTGGACTTTTCTGTGAAGATCTGAAGGAAATGTAGCACAAATGAGACTCAGAGTGCTCAGAACAGGTTGATGTTTATACTAAACAGACGTGTCTGTTGTATAGCTGATAGTCACTTCTTCTAGCGTGGAGTACTGATTAGCTTCTCTGGTCATCAGGTACTAGCCCTGCCCAGGAAGGAGGGAGAAGGTGCGGAGACAGCACGACACCCTTGCCTGTGTGTATAAAATTGTATCCCGGCGTGGCTCTGTGAGCCTTTGTGACTTCTTTCACTGACAGTGAAAGAAGCTTGTATCACTGAGAGTGATACAAGAATCAGCAGAGTGGTAGACCTGAAGCCGTTTTAGGAAACTAATCAATTTTATATGTTAAGATTGTTTGAATTTGCATTGATTTTACTGAACTGATCCTAGTGCCATAGGGTTTTGTTTCTTCTGGAATGGGTTTTCTCCCTTGCAGCCTCTGCTGCTGGTTAGGAACAGGTTTTTGGTTTTCAGTACGATGTTGTCTGTGTGGCAGGGCAGCTTAGGCACAGGTTAATCTGACCAGGAGTCCTGTAAGCACGGGCACCTCCAGGGCACACTCTTCCTGGGTGTGTCCAGTGACCCCAGTGACTAGAGAAGCCTTTCTGGAACTTTCCTTCTGTTTCAGATAGTTTCCATTTTATAAAAAGAAAAAGACCCTCTTTCACCTCTGTTCCTCTTTGCCTCCATCTCCTCCCCTCTGCATAATCAGTTTTGGCAAAGTGCAGTGCATTCCTTCAGCGCCCCTTCCTCTTTTCAGCGCCGCCCCACTACACAGCCCTCAGCAGCATTACCTCACGAGGATACTTTTCAGTCTTTCTCTCTTCCGTAGTTTCTGCACACACTCCTCCCTTTCTCACTGACTACAGCTTCTCCACCTCTGCTGTGGGCACCTCCCTTTAACTGTATGTGCCAGTGGTCCTCAGGGTTCTGACTTGGCTGGCTCTTAGGTCCTGCATGCTCTTCCTGATGTACAGCAACAAGTACCTTTTTCCTTTTTTTTGACTGAAGCTTGTCTCTTAGTCTCTTGCCTGGGTATCCTATTGTTGGTCAGATGTCTATGACAATTATGTAAGATTTCATTGATTACATATGACTTTATCGCATTGCCAACCCCAGGACCGCAATAAATCGTACTGTGGAGTCCAGTTTTACTGGGCATTTTACATTTATGCATGCTGTCATAATGAGATGCAACACTTTCCAACACTTAAGGTTTCATGACTGCAATTTTTATTGAGTTTCAGTATATTGACACTGTGATTTAAGCTTAATGATCAAGTTGCATGTGAAACAGAACTGGGAAGTAAAAAGGGGAAGTAGAAGTAGGGTGCAAAAATGATATTTCTTTAGGCCACTGGATATATTTTAAATCCAAAAAAATTATTTTTTAAATAAACTGGCTTAATCCATATTTTTCTCTTTTCCCACTTACCTTCTTTGTCTTTCTTAGAAGTAGTTGTTGGTAGACCTCTGTTTGCATTCAAAAAGCAAATTGAGTTAATAAACCTCTCTTTTTGCCGGGTGTGGTGGCACATGCCTGTAATTCCAGCACTCTGGAGGCCGAGGCAGGAGGATCATTGTGAGTGCGAGGTCAGCCTGGGCTACAAAGTGAGTTCAAGGCCAGCCTGAACTGCACAGTGAGACCCTGTCTCAAAAAGACAAAAAAAAAAAAAAAAAAAAAAATTTCCAACACGAGTAGCTGTTCTGTGTGTACGTTAGAGAACAATTAACTGTTTACAAACAAAAAATTTTTAAGTTATTTTAATAACTATATAATCCAGTAATTCAAATCTTAGGTTTATGCCCAAGATAATTGGAAACAAATGCTCATACAAAAATTAGCACAAAAATGTTTGTAATATCATTGTTTATAATATTGTAATCTCCAATGAAAACAACCCAATTGTCTCTCAGCTGAAGGACCGATGAAATACAGTCTGTACGTACCATGGGATGTCACGCAGCCATAGACAGGAATGAAGTAGTGGTACTGCTGAGTGGAAGAGACCAGACAGGAGAGACCACGTATTGTATGGTTCCATTTATATGAAGTAGCCAGAATGGGCAAGTCCATGGAGTCAGAAATGAGATTAGTCATTGCCAGCAGCTAGGGGTACGAAAGGGTAGGGGATGAAGTGCTAACCAGGAATTTTTTTTTTTTTTTTTTTTTTTTTGGTTTTTCTCCGGTACCGGGAACCGAACTCACGACCTTGCGCTTGCCAGGCAGGCGCTTTTGCCGCTGAGCTAAATCCCCAGCCCCTAACCAGGAATTTGGAAATAAGAGAAATAAGTTTGTTTTCTGAGTGTTACATTGCAGAGAATACAACAGAGATGCACAAAATCACCCTATGCAAAAGCATGGATCCCTTAGTGGCAAGCTGTGGGACAGATTGAATTGATGTAAATAAAGAACGTAGCTCTTTGAAAACAGGCAAGTCAGCCGTGGAAGCACAGGAAAAGAAGCCCCAGAGGCGAGTGTGGGCAGCGCCCACCTTGCTTATCCCCACTGTGCAGTTTGTGGAGAGTGTCTCACACACAGAACATTAACGTCTGTGGCCCCTTGAGCTGTCGCACCAGGTGAATACTCCCCTCATTTGCTTTTTCCCCCGGGGCTTCCCAGAGCACCTTGCCATTACTGTTATTGTTAATGAGATCATTAGGCGTTCAGAGTGGATGTATCAAAGGGGAGAAAACATGCTGGCCTAGAAGCTTATGGTGTCAGGGTGCCTACTCTGCTGGTTTCTGACAGATAGGACTCAGTGTGCCCACTTACCGGGTGGACCCTGCCCGGCGGACGGCATAGCAAAAGCCTCCATGGCAAACCACTGCAGAGGCAGCTGTTGACCATCACAGCGAGGCTCCCAGGTGCACCCCAGTCAGATGAGGAGCGGAGAATTTCCACATGAGTAAGACTCGGCATTGGCATTTTGCACTTTCTCTGTTGCCTGTTTTCTTAATGTTGAAAATCACAAGTTTTCCAGGCTGACATGGTGTTGTGGGTGAATTTCCAGGTAGGGAGCTGTGAGCCTAACTGAGGAAAGCAGTAAGCTAGCACTGCAGAGTGTTTGGTCGTGGCACTGCCGTCTCTTTATCGGTCTGCTCTGTCGTTTGCTCAGAGAGCGTCAGTCGGTGCTTCGCGTGACAGGGGCAGCACTTTCTTTGTTAGATGGGATTACAAATACGAACTGTGTTCAGATCCTACTGTGGTATTTCTTTTATGAGAATCAATTCCTTTTTTAAATCCTGGTTATAATAGCTATCTGCTTTTAAAAGAGTCTGTTAATAATTCTTTTTTTTTTTTTGGGTTTTGGTTTTTTTTCCAGTACCGGGAATCAAACTCACGACCTTGCACTTGCCAGGCAGGCACTGTGCCACTGAGCTAAATCCCCAACCCCTTGTTAATAATTCTTACTTGAAATCTGTTCGTTTCTTGAGTTCATAATCTGATTTTTTTGCCTTAAATGAGACAAAAAGTTTTGTTTCCCTGTGATTATAATTTCTTCCCAGGAAATGTTAGAAGACTATTCCATGTAGGCAGGTCTCACAGTGTAAGTGGGTGCTGCTGCTTCTCTACCAGGTTTGCCAGTATGTCCGGAGCTGGTGAGGGAGCACATCCCTAAGACCAAGGACGTGGGACACTTTTTGTCTGTCACCGGGACAGTGATTCGAACGAGTCTGGTGAAGGTCCTGGAGTTTGAACGGGATTACATGTGCAACAAGTGCAAATACAGATTCGCGGTCAAGGCTGATTTTGAGCAGTATTACGTCTTCTGCCGGCCGTCCTCATGTCCCAGCTTGGAGAGCTGTGATTCCTCGAAATTCACTTGCCTCTCAGACTTGTCTTCAAATCCAGCCAGGTGTAGAGATTACCAGGAAATCAAAATTCAAGAACAGGTAAATGATGAAATCAGGGTGAAAAGGAACAAATTTGAAGCAGTTTTCTCCCTTGATCAATTGCTAGGATTAGAAAGTATCAGATGAGTACAAATGAACTTACTTCGTCACTTTGTAGATCAGTCTGAAACTGCTGCCCTTGTGTGGGAACATAGTGTTTGGAAACAATGACATAATCATCTTAGAGCACTGACAAGAACATGGTGAAATGCCTTAGAATGTTAAAATTCAAATGCATATTTAAGAATTCTAAACTAGCTGTAGTTAACTAAGGGATAGGAGAGAATCAAAGGGTTTAATTGTTAAGCCCACATTTCAGGTTTAACCCAGTGTTAAATATTGGGGTAAGTAGGATTTAGGCTTTGGTTCAGCTTCACTTGCTGTGTCAAGTGAAGTGTACATTAACAGTCTTAACAAGTTACAGTAGCACCTGGGAGGCTGAGGCAGGAGGCTCACCGAGTGTTCGAGGCCAGCCTAGGCTACCTAGTGACTTCAAGGCCAGCATGAGCTATATAGTGAGACCATTTCAGAAAACAAAAACAAATAAAAATTACAGTGAGCCTCATTATCCTTGTAAAAAGTTTTTTTCTGTCATCTAAAATAGTAGGAGGTAGCCGTGAAAGGCTAAGACATAGTCTCAGAGTCAAGGGCTCAAACCTGGCTAAATTTGTGGTTTCTACAAGTGTGGATTCAGTGGTCCAGAGTACAACTCTGTGACATCTGTATTCTAGTGAGAGAACAGGAGGAAGATGGGCAGTGTACCCTCCGTCTCACCAAGTCTCCACGTAAGCCGTGTCCATGGCAGTCGTCTGGCACATGCCTACTTAGGTCTTATGGGCCAGAACTTAGTTACGTGAGCATGTCTGGGTGCAGTGAGCATCTACAAAGCCCGTATCCCTGTGGCATGTCTTTAAGCACGTTCAGTATCTGTTTTCTTTTCCTCGATAGGTTCAGAAGCTGTCTGTTGGAAGTATTCCACGATCTATGAAGGTTATCCTAGAAGATGACTTAGTAGACAGCTGCAAATCTGGTAAGAATGAACATTTTCTTTTCTGAGACGGGCTCCTCCTGAGTTGTGTAGAATGATCTCGAACTTGTGGGTGCAAGTGATCCTCTCACTTCAGCCTCTTGAGTAACTGGGGCCACAGGTGTGAGCACCGCCACGCCCAGCAAGAATGAGCTTGTGTTAGCTTGTGTAGAGGTCTGCGTAGGATATAGAGTGTAGTTGCTCCCCTCGCAAACAGAGCCTGGTGTCAAGTAGCTGTCGATGAGAGGGAAGTGAGGCTGCAGCTGAGCTCCAGTGTGGCTGTGTACTGACAGATGCGCGGATGGCCCAGGCCACCTTGAGGTAAGTGCTGGAGCTGGAGCTGGAGCAGGAATCCACAGCCATGGCTTGGGTTCCAGGGTTCTCTTCATGCTGCGCAGTGTAATGGAAGCAGCTGTGGAGCGTCTGGTGTGCGGTGGACAGTTGCACACAGGCAGTGCAGGACACGCTGTCAGGTGCTCCCGAGAGTCTTGCTGTGCCTGGAGGAAAGGAGGTGACTGTCCCTCTTCTCTTTGCTGCAACTCCAGAGCAGGCTGGGATGATGCAGTGGTGCTGTATGTTTCTGTGAAGCTCCTCCAAACTGGACTGTTGTGCATGGGAAAGAAATCTGAGCTATTTTTCTTTCAAATCTCGTTAATAGTAAAGGATGGATGGAAGCAGTTGATGACAGTAATTTTTCATTTACCCATAGCTGTAAACCTGTGGGAGTCAAGAAATACGAACAGCATAATTCTTGCCCTTCAGGAAATTGCAGCCTAGGTAGGAACCCCAGCTTGAACTATGCAGAGTCCTGAAGTTGGAGTCTGTGTGACAACTGTCCACGCAGCAGGCGAGCAGAGAGATGATTCTGGCTAGGTGGGGCGGCTGCAGTTGGAAAGATGCCATGAAAGACAGAGGCCCATGAGGAGACTGGGTTGCTTAGAAGTAAGTACTTTAGCTTCCTGGTTGGATAAGAGTAGTTTAATACAGACTTTTAACTGGATAGCTGTTGCCTTGGCCTATCCATGTACCTCACAATAAAGATCATATTAACCTGATATTCCATAAGCATTTGGGTGAATGAAAACATTCATATATTCAAGGGTTTTTAAACATATAGTGTCTCTACAAATATAAGTGGGTTTAATGTAAGGGGAGCTATTGCTTCCTGAGGATGCCTCTGTTCTTGACATTGCAGCCAGCACTGGACATGCATTATTTATCCTGGTTCTCACTGTGGGCCAGTGATAGAAGTCTGCTGTCAGTTTTTTAGGTCAGGAAACAGGTTCAGGGAAGTTAGATGACTTGTCCCGCGTCACATACCAATGAAAGGTAGAGGTGGGATTAAGTCAAATCTGGTGAGTCATTGTTCTCGGCGCCATAGTCTACATTATGCACATAATCACTGCTTATTGCACTCACGTTATTACTAAAGGGAGCTAGATCTGGAATTAAGTTCTCTGCTTGGCTGATGTAGAAACAATATGAACATAATTCCTGAAAGTAACGACAACAGAAAGATCTTGGAGACATGTCACACGCCTTGTTAGTGTGTCACCATTAGTGTGAAGCACCTATAGCTAGAAACATGCATTTCGCGTCACAGAACCCACAGCTCTGCAGAGCTGCATCGCACGTGCATGTTTAATGAGAACGGCATTTGCCCCAGCAAGTGGTATATGATTGGCATAAAGGTATGGGCATGAAAGAATTGCCCATGAGTGCTGAGGCAGTTTCTTACGTAAAACATAAAGGCCAGGATTGGTTTGGGGCTTAGCAGACATCTTCTATTCAGTATGATTGAAAAATTTTTTTTTTAATTTTTATTTTTTGGTACCGGGAATTGAACTCAGGACCTTGCGCTTTCCAGGCAGGTGCTTGTGCAACTGAGCTATATCCCCGGCAGGGTGATTGAAAATTTACTAGATTAGGTTTGTTGTTTAGGGCCCCTTTTCTCTAGTACCAACATAATGAATGCTGAGCATTCACAGACACTTGTTAACTGGTGCCTTGCACAGAGTGTGAAAGTAAGCACAGGAGTCAGTGTTTGGTGAATACTTGTAGACCACCCAGAGCCATTTAGGAAATGTGTAAGTCTAGCATCCTGCCAGCCCAGAGCAGGAGACTTTCCTCACATGGGAAGGAGCCACCAAGAAGTAGCATGCTGAGGTGCTGTCTTGTGCCCTCATGGTCTGAAGTAGAACAGTGTTCAGTAATTTCTTACTTCATTCCTTCCTTAGTTCCTTAGTTCATTTAGAAATAGAGGCACTGAGTAAAATGGTAACAATGGAAAATGAACATGTAAGAGACTAAGTGGGTGCCTGGGCGTCGCAGAATTATCTCGCCCTGACACCAGACTGATTCTGCTTTCACCTTTTGGCTGCAGTTCCCATACCTTTTTGCTAAATGAGAACTAAGCAGACACTCTGAGGTCAGTGAAGACTAAGTCACTCAGGAAACTGTTTTTCCAGTGAAGGGTAGTACTGTGATGTGGTGTGATTATCATGTGGCATATTATGAAAAATAAAAATGCTCTCCTCACCTTGTGGCTGTGCAGATGTAAATGCTTGTAGAGTGGTGGTGGGAATTGGGCTGCTCTTTGGCCCCTCAATTGTTTCTGGATGAGCACACACCCTAGCTGTAGTAGGGGGTGGTTCGTTTCTCTTTTCTGCTGGTGTGTGGCATGCCATGTATTTGCATGTGCTCTCTCCCAGGGGATGACCTCACTATCTATGGGGTTGTGATACAGCGCTGGAAGCCCTTTCAGCAAGATGTGCGCTGTGAAGTGGAGATAGTCCTGAGAGCGAACTACGTGCAGATAAATAACGAGCAGTCCTCTGGGATCGTCGTGGATGAGGAAGTCCGAAAGGAGTTTGAGGAGTTCTGGGAGTGCTACAGAAGTGATCCCTTTGCAGGTCTGTGGTTCAGGGCATACAGCTCATCTTTAGTAATGGTGTCACATTTGGTGCTTACGTGGTGTCTGAGGTTTGGGGATAGCCGCACATGCTGCGGAGGTGGGGTGGGCGTGCTTAGGCTGAGTCCAGAGCTGTGCGTTAGTGAGGACCGCGGATTGTGGTCTCCGTCTGAAGCCCTTTTCTGGCTGGTTTTTTCTACTTGGAGATCTTCCTGGAGAGTTTTCTTATTTAAACACTTAGGCTGCCAAAAGTTGTAAGTGTCCTATGTTTCCTACCAATTAAAAGTGCAATTCTTCAAAAAGAGCTCATTCTATTAATATGAAACATTATGTTGTACTAAAACCATTGTCTTCTAGTATATTTTCAGTAATAAAGACAATTTTCCACTGTGCTCACTAAAGATTTTAAAAGAGGGAGTAAGTAGAGAGAGGTGACAAGGGAGAGAAGATGCTGAGAACAAGCTCTGCCATCAGTGTGACACTAAGATGTAATTACACCCAACAGAAGATCACAGCCTCTGGGTTTGCAGAGTGTAGCTTTTACTGAAAATCCAAAAAAGTATAAAACAGCAGCTAAGGTCTCTTGTTTTCATTCTTTCTTGTAGTCATCTGAGAAAAGTATACTGAAGCCAGTAATAGACTATTTTTAATAAACTTTTCTTCAAGTCTGTGTTGACTATGCTTAAATCACATGCTGAACTAGGTAGATAGTATTTCATAAAACAGAGTTTCTACATGCCTGTATATTGGCAGTTTGCCGGTATTTTATGGAATTTTTAACTGATACATGTAAGACATACACAGTAGTTCCTGACCTCTTTTATGTGATCTAGACAGAAAACAGCCCAGAGTCTTGACTCTGTTAATTAGCCCTTTAATAGATAAAGGGAAGAGATAAATACAGTGACCTTGTGAGAAATATAAGTAGGAAGACAGTGAAAAAATAAGGCAGCGTTTTTTATTTGGATGTGAATGATCTTCCCTTTCTTAGTTTCCTGTATACCAGGGACCAGGGCACTGTATTTGACTGTTTGAAAGTGTGTGAGAGAGAGACAGTGACAGAGAGAGTGAGTGGGCGCATGTGCGTGTTTTGGCGGGGTGAAGAGGTCTAGGTGGGAGCTGTAGCCAACCGGCCATCTTTCTTTTGCCAGTGTAAGGCTACAGCTCGCTTTACCACTCTCAGGTTGCTTGCCTCTGGAGACTGTCGGTATTGACCAGCATGAGGCCCAAGGGTTTTATTTTGGGCGCGCTGACCCCGAGGGCCCCTTTATTGTGGTGCCTGGATGCTGCTGACCAGGATGCCAAGTGTGGGGCTGTCTGCTGGGCCAGCTGAACCCACCTTGGGCTGACTCAGCTTATCTTAGACTAAAGAGGTTTTCTTCACTGAGGTAACTGAGGCTGTACCATCAGAATGGATAACCTTGGCCGTTGCTACACTACGGAGATGTTCTAGAGCCAGGAATTTGGGACGGATGGAGAGACCGGGATAGTTTTCTCCCTGTGCATTCTCTCCGTGGTGCAGCATGGAGGCTTCTGCTGCCAGGATGCAAGGAGTCACGGCTTCCACCTGGGCGGCATAGTGAGGATAATGGCCCTTTCCGGTTCTCGTCTTTGTTACCCAAGCCCTGCCCTTGTAGTAGAACTTTGTGTTGATTCCACTTGAGGAGACCTTGAGATCAGAGATAAGCATAGTTAATTCAGGAAATAAAAATGAATAGTTCAGAAGCCCACCCCCTCCATGCCAGGTACTGCCTATGTGCTTTACAATTACTGACCCCTCTGATCTTCAGAAGTCCCAGATGGGGCAGTTACCATCTGCATGTATAGATAAAGGGATGGTGGCAGAGGGGTTGTGAAACTCAGCCAAGGTCAGGCCCTCGTAAAGGACAAGGCTGCAGTTTAGGGTAGACATAACTCAGAGCCTCTGCCTTTTACCCCTGGACTCTGTAACAGCTTTGGCTTGGGTGTATCCAGGTCAGTTTGCTCACTCTTTGTGTGTGTTTGTGAGACAGGATCTTTCTATGTAGTTCAGGCTGGCTTTGGAATTGTAGCATTCCTTCTGCCTCAGCCTCTGGAGTGCTGGGATTACAGGCCATCCGCTTACCCTAAACCAGCTTCTTAGGCCTTTCTCTTTCTCTGCACATGTGCAGTCCCTGAGTGCTGGCCAGAGTTGACATGCTTGCTCTGAGGTCTTATCTCCTTCAGTTCTTCACCTTTCTCTCTAGCCTGTCTCTGGAAAGGGGTGGGTCTCTTTTGGTGTTGAACTAAGTCTTCTCTCTGGTCTCTTCTTAGTGAAGGATATTCTCTCTCCACTGTTTCTGTTGTCCCAGGCCACTGCACCTGTTTTGGCTCCTCCAGAGCTGGGGGATGAGGTGTGTGCTCGGCATGCCCAAGACCCTAGCTGTGATCTACAGCGCCAAAGGCCCAAACCCGTTTGATTTTATAAAAGGCAGCCCTCGTGTCTGGGGCTGTATGTTGTGGACAGGCTCAAGGGAAGGCCTGTGAAAGTTGGATAGGTGGATTCGGCCTGTGACTGGATGAAGTGCTTTATTCATGGACAGGGGTGGGGTTTGGGGGTCTAAGACTTGATGCTTTGCTATTTCTGAGAACAAAACTTCAAATAGAGTTTTTTATTTAAAGTACACAAAAGAATTCATGAGCTCTAGTTTGGATTAGTAGTGTTGTGCTTTGTAATGATCTTTTTTTAAAGACCTGATACTCGAGTCTTTTACTCCAGAAAGAATGGAATATACCAAGGAGCCTGGAGCAAATGCTGAACTGACTTGGGGTTGGGTTGATTTTCCTTCTGTCCCTTCTCTTCCACTTTTGAAGGCACGTAGACAGCTCCAGCTGTCTGCTTACAGGCTGAGGCGCTGACAGTCTGACTCACCTCAAGATGCTCCTTTGCATCAGGCAGGTGAGCACTTTCCCTGAAAGGACCGTAGAGGAAGTACAGCTGGTGTTATCTTAAGGGACAGTGCTGGCCTGATGCGTGGTGGATTAGGCAGTGAAATTTCTTCCTTTGTGTCCTTTCTGAAATATGACAGAGTTGTGGAAATTTAAGTGGATAGCACACAGAAATGAAAAGCAGACTTTCATCTCGTGACATTAAGGACTTTTAGAACCCAAACTAGCTTCTCACTCTTCAGTAATTTGGATTGGCCTTTTTGATCACTTTAGATTTGTAGGAAGAGTACATTTATTGACAGTTGGGACAGGAAGAAGATTTGAATTAGGGCTTCTTGGAAGCTGTGGGTGAGTTCCGATCTTTCTGCTTTCCCAGGAAGGAATGAGATACTGGCTAGCCTATGTCCCCAGGTGTTCGGGATGTATCTGGTGAAGCTCGCCGTGGCCATGGTCCTGGCTGGTGGGATTCAGAGGACCGATGCTGCAGGAACGAGGGTCAGAGGTCAGTACTTGCTTACACTTTCTGAGAAATGTGAACATTCCAGGAGAGAAGCTGGACTTTTATTTCCTCAATAAAACTGTTTGTTGAGCTTTATTTTCTAAAAGTAGCCTTCTAAAGTTTACAGTTGTCTAAGTGTTTCATACTTAATGCACCTCCTGTATTTATCAGAAGCTGTTTTCGCAAACTCCAGACAGAAGAATCCCTTTTCTCTGTGGGTATGTGCCTGTGTTGTAGTCTGTAAGGGGCCTGAAGGGAAATGCTCACCCTGGTCTCCAAGAAGATGGGTTAGAGGCAGTGCGACTTAACTCTGCAGTCATCTCTGTCTGTGACTGGGGTTTCTGACTGCTGTTCTCAGCCATGTGCCTGCTGAGTCCCCTCTGCTGGCAGACAGCAGACGTGTCACCTGCCAGGATATGCAGGTCACACATTCTGGCGGAGATGGCTGTGCTCACGTCTGGACGGCAGGAAGCTCTTTTGCAACTCATAAGACTGAGAGACCCGAAACTCCCTAGTATGAGCTGTAGCAACCCAAAAGTGAACCCAAAGAGCAAAATAAATTACTGTAAATCAGGCTGTTAACACACTGGGACTCCAAAACCAGACAGCCCAGTAGGGAATACTATAGGTAAAGGCTATGTATGTTCTCTGTCTCATCACCTGTTATCTGCAAGGCCCTCCATTGGATGTTGAACTGAAATAGGGGTTTCTGGTTGAAATTCTTGAGTGTCACTGGTTGGCCAGTGAGCTAATGTGTGCTGTAGGGATAGTCATGATTATTTAGGGCATATATATATATATATTTTTTTTTGTTTTGTTTTTCTCCGGTACCGGGAACCGAACTCACGACCTTGTGCTTGCCAGGCAGGCGCTTTTGCCGCTGAGCTAAATCCCCAGCCCCTATTTAGGGCATATTTAAAACTAAGATTACTTAACTACTTTGGGATAACTGCTTTACTATAAAACTACTAAAATTTTCATAAAATGAAAAGGTTTTCACTTAATGGTTAGCAGCTTAAGCACTTCATTGTTTATAACATACTTACAAAGTCCTCAACCCCAGGAGTACCTACATAAAAATAGAGTAAAATGCTTGTACAACTTGTATGGAAAGGCTTCATCACAGTAGTTTGGTATTTAAAAAGATAAAATCAGAAGCTGTATAACATCTTTTAATGTTCCCGCCAACTTGAACCACCAGTGGTACATGCATGACTGCCCTGTCAGATCGCTTGTACCACTGGTGCTACAAACAGACCTAATCACTTTTAGCATTCTCTTTACTAAAAATCAATAAAAAGTATATAAATGGACTGAATCTAGTTGCTTGAATTTGAAGAATTACTGTCCAAATCTAAATTAATACTGTTCTTACCAATTAAAAACATTAAAATGACCAACAGATTTATGTACTTTATTAAAAGAAATTTGTTAGTGAACTTCTTTAAAACATAAAGACAGCTGATTTGTGCAGGGTGTGCAAAATGTGACGCACATGGATTTATCTGCAGCCACAGCAGCACCCACTTTTTCGGGTAATTTTTTTATAACTTTTTTTACTTTGCTTGTGTACGTTCCTTGCCCATCCTAACTAAGCTTTTATAAAGTGAATGTTTTTTTCAAGTAACTTGTACCTGTGGCATTCTTCACGGGTTAATAGTTTATCAATAATTAATTCTCTAAATTTTAACATAGGAATCTTAAAAGTACTTCATTGTTGCGTATATGATATACATTTACAACTGAAGCTGTGTTAGAATTTTTTGCCATTTTGTTTTCCGTATGGAACTGTAATATGATATCTGATCTGCTAAATCAGTGCCTTCTTTTGTACTATTGTAATACAAGACCCTAGAAGAAATGGTTTAGGCTACCCAGTGGGACAGTCATGCGTCTACCACCAGCAGTTCAAGCCACCCGAAAGAACGGATGGTCAATTCAAATCAGAGCTGCCTGAGAATGAGATACAGTAATTACAGCCCTATTGTGAACATGTTAAATGTTTATCATGGACCTAATCATTTGAACAGAATATACCATCTATGGATAGAATTTAAATTTTGAAAATCACATTCAGCAATGAGATTGTTGTATTTATGACAGTTAACTTTTCTAAAGATTTTTAGTTAAACCTTCCTAAGTAATCTTACATAAAAGTTACATCAAAAACCGTTTAAGGCTGGGTGTGTGGCTCACACCTGGAACCCCGGGACTTCAGAGGCTGAGGCAGGAGTTTGAATTTGAGGATGACCTCGCCCCAAATTACATAAAATACAAAAGAGGTGATCAAAATATACCATGAGTGTTCTAAATAATTTTATTATAGTAAAAGACATATTGCTACTAATTCTCCTCAAAATACTCCCCGTTGCTTTAGTGACCTTTTTTTTTCTTTTCTTTGGAGACAGAATCTCGCAGTGTACTTCAGGCTGGCCTTGAACTCATTGTGTAGGCCAGGCTGACCTTGAACTCACAGGGATCCTCCTGCTTCAGCCTCCCAAGTGCTGGGGTTACAGGCGTGTGCCACCACACCTGGCTTCCCCCTTGCTTTGAACATATTTATCCCATCATTCTTGCTACTTTGTTTTGTTTTGTTGTCCGTTCCCC